TCTTCATACAAAAGGGTCTGCACGCTCCAAGCGCATGAAGGCTGATGTTGAATAGATCAACGCTGAGCCTATCACACTAATGGCACCGCTGGCGGACCTGGTCTATTTCAAGAACGGCACGGACCTCGAATTTGCTACAATTCCATATTTGAGCAGTGGTTCTACCTCCAAAGTCAGAGGATGCTTCGGAACCAATGCACTCGTCTATCTTAAGGGAAAACGTAATTAAGAACACTGAGTTAAAATAGTGCTGCACCACCTTAACTCAACTCGTCATCGACGAGGAGGAGCAGTCTTTCACCAGAGGGCACCTCTATCACGCTTGAAATATGAAGGACGACGATGCGGTGCACCCAATGGATCTACAACTATTATCAGAATGAGCTTTCGACACTTCCAAATCCGAAGTGTCCTCCATCATTTGTGGGGGATGGAGCAGAAACATAATCTATTAGTTTTAAGAGTCCTTTCGAAATCCGCAACGTTCTTAAAATGAATTGGTCCTGCCGCACTGCCGTAAGTATGATGGGTTCCACTATTATCGCTTCCTCCTCGGCCTTCACACTCTCTGAGCGATTAGACTGAATGGGTGAGAGCGCCCGTTGTCGGCGGCATTATATACGGAAGAGGATAGTTAATGCGATGATCTTTCAGAGTACACTTCTTTCTTCGCAGCAGATAACGTCTGTTCCGTAACAAGATTAGTGTTCCATGACCAATTCTCACCTAATATTCCTCAAGTATGACTACCAAACACGATTAAAAGGGCTGGCAGATGCGTAGCCGCTCTCTTTCACCATCACACTGGCAATGCGTTTGCGTAGATTGACCTTCTGTTTAAAGCTAGAGAACTCGCCTTTTAGACGGTCCAGTGTCCCCAAGGTGAAAAATTCGGCCAATTTCAGCTAAAAAGTGGACGTTAGAAATGCAAATGGGCGGATACACTCAGCAGCCTCAAACTTAATAAGAGTATCCCATCTGAGGGAGGAAATAGTTTAACAGTCCAATTTCACTCGTTATTGTGATATCTCACTCCAATACTCTTTGCTCTTGATGCCCTACTCAAAACCGCAGTCAACGTAAACATTCCCACCGCCAGATCCGGAGCAGCCACAGAGAGAATTCGTCATCATTCACTGTTTAAACAGTTGAGGAAGACGTCAACATTTTATATCTGTCTCCCCACTCATCCTGTGTTCACTATAAATGCACGTGAGTCAAAAGGGAATAAAAGCCAATGTTTACATCAGCATCAAGGTACGGAGGAATCATGGAAGCCTACTTTTGTCCGACTTTGTGTTTGTAGTGGTGGCCATGATGCTTCCGGTGAGAGTGTTTGTGCCTGTTGCTTCTGCTTCTGGACCGGGATCTTCTTTTGCTTATAAAGGAGAAGATTCTGGTAGGTGGTTTCGCGTAGTGTGAAAAACAACTACAAGGTGGGGAAAAAGGAGGAGAAGGGGGCAAACTTTGCTTATCGCCATTCCTTCTTCAGGGCTTTTTTAGCGGTAGCTAAAAGGAAACAATTTCGGCATTAGAGCCGTGCCTGATTTGCCCAGATACTCGATAGTTTGACTAGGATAAAAT